CAAAACAATTGAAGGATGGATAAGTCGTTTTGCTGCTTCTCATAAAAAATCAATGGCACAGAAAATTTTAGAAGAAAACCAAAATAAAAATCAATGACATTCTAAAAATTCATTCTTGCTTACTATAATTGCATCCCGAAATTATTTTATAAAAAGATCAAGGTTTTGTTGTGGAGAAATTCAACATTTTGAGTTTTAAAGTTATTTTTTAACCTTGTTGATATTAAAATGTTTTATATTTATTTTTTGACGCACATTCTTATGTTTTCCAATAATTTATATATGTAAAAAATATGAATTTTATACCCATAATCCAGGACCGCTGGTTAAATAACAGGGAATTGACAAATTTAACAGCTCATATTTTCAGAAGTAAATATAATATTTCACGTTTGTTTAACATAGTTGGATATAAAAGATAATATATGTAACATAATAAATGCGTGACTTTTTGTGGGGGCCAAAAAATCAACCATATTAATTTTAATATGAAAATAAAATTTTTTGCCCCGATCGGCACTAATTAAGTTCTTTCCTTTATTCGTGGAACACGAATTAAGTAATTCAATTCGATAAGTCTGTTTACTCGATAAGTCAGTCATATGAGCTCACCCCCACATGACCGACTTATCGAGTTTACATATGTATGACATAAATTTTGATTTAATTAGACTAATTTTTGATTGTAAATTTTTTCTCAAAACTGTCGTTGTGGTGCAGAAAGTTGTAGGGACTAGGTATATTTCACTATAAAATAAATCAGCAGTAATGCATCCTTAAAAATTAAAAAATGGTCATCTTCTTATTAATGGCAGCAAAAACTCTCTACCTTTCGATTACTTTATTATTGTTCTTTTCCAATTTTTAATTTTTAATACATCATCATATTTATCGATCGGAGTTTGTTTATTTTGTTTAAAATAGCATTAGTAATAAACTATTATATACAAACTTCATTATTAAGTTTCTTTTTTCCTTTTCTTAAAACAAACCTTTCAGTATAAATAAATATACGCGTTATAATTTAATACACGCACAAAAAAAATAAAATATATCAACTTTTACAAAAATGCCAAGACAACCTAAAAATTCAGCTGCTGCCACTAACAATCCTAGCAATTCCAATACTAATAAATCATCATCATCTGGCAAGGCGACAACAACAGCAGGCGCCAAACAGAAATCCGATCCTGGTAAAACCTCCACTACAAAGACCAAGAAAAGCTCTTCTGAACCTAAAAGAGCACTTAGCGCATATATGTTTTTTGTTCGTGGAAATAGAGAAAAGGTTAAAGCCGAAAACCCTGAAGCAAAATTTGGTATTCGTCTTATTATATTGTTCTTGGAAATGTGTTTATATTATTACTTATATGTGAGGATTATTTGTCCATTGTTCATCAGGTGAAATCATGAAATTTCTTGGAGAAAAATGGAAGGCTTTGAATGATGAAGAAAAGGCTGTGAATATTCGTTTGTTATCTTTCGATAATCTTCTCGTAAACAAATTAATTGCTAATTTGTTATTATTATTATTATATTAAATTTAGCCTTATAACGAAATGGCCACAAATGATAAAAAACGTTACGCAGGTTTGTTTAATTTTTGAATTTTGAATATATTTAGAAAATTTACATTAATTTTTTTTTTAAATTAAAAATTTATTGATTAAAGACGAAAAGACAACGGCAAATAATGTGAAATAAAAATCCAGATCGAAGAGTTATCGGAAAATAATGGAAAAGAGTAATAAATTACTTTTTTTATGGCATAAATTTCTTTTTTAATTTTTTAAATGTTTCATAAATTATTTGCACTATTTATATATTAATATATAATTAAAATATGCAAGATTACACACAATAAATGAAATCTTTAATTTATTTTTTCACTTAAAACAACAAAGAAAATAAAAAACTTTTATACATTAAATATATAAATAAAACATGTATATATACAGAACATATATATATATTAATAACAAGTCTAATGATAAAATAAAAATAAAAATTAAAAAACAATCATCCAAATCAAGCTTTTTTGGAATCCTTTAATGTTGGGCATAATTTTCTATGTCCATTTTTCCAATCCTTTTTTTGACATTCTTTAGAACAATAATTCACACTAAAACAACTTGAACAAGCAAGTAATGCCGTATTCTTTTCTTCGGCATTCAAATCTTTACGTGTTTGACTTCCACAACAATTGCATTTTTTCTCTTTGTTAGGAGGTTGTTGATTAGCATTTGAAGATAAAACAAGTAATCGTTGTAAGATGTGTGCTAATTTATCTGCTTCTTTTTTAGAATCCTTTTCAACTACTTTTGAACCCTCTTCCTCTTTATCAATATTATTATTACTGTTGGTGGTAATGCCATCAATAAGATTATTATGATGAGCATTATTATTATAATTACTTTTCTGTTCAAAATATGTTACTACAGTCCGTTTGACCTCTGAGATATCAGGAGGGTGTCCATACAAATACTCGTAACGTTCTTCTGCTATTTTGGCCTTTTGATAATAATTTAATGCTTGCTAATTACAAAAAAAAGATGACAAAGTTCTTTCTTACCCTCATCATGAGATTGAAAAACACCCTCACGACCATTCTCACGACCACCCTCACGACCATTCTCACGACCACCCTCACGACCACCCTCACGACCACTCTCACGACCACCCTCACGACCACTCTCACGACCACTCTCACGACCATTCTCATGACCACGGCCACGATCATGGCCACGACCATGACTATGAACATCAGACAAATTTACCCTTTACGACTCATGCTTCAGATCAACAGCCTGATCAACAGCCTGTCAAGCCTCAAGATTATGATTTACTTGAAGCTCGAGATAAAAGAAAAGAGACCAATGATCCAGAAGTTGAGGAGGTATTGTATTTATCAAAAACAATTTAATTTGCAATATGGTTAATAAAATTTTAATTTATGACAACATGTATATAATATTTGATTTATTCATTGAAAAAGTATTTCAAAGCAAAAGAATTGTTTTTAAAAGGGAGTAAAATTGCGGAAGAAATTCCAACTGATTCTGAGGAAAAAACACTGAAAGAATATGAACAAAAAATATTGGAATCTACCAAATATCTTGTAGAAGCATTTTTAATAGATGAAAAGGCTACTGACATGTCATCTAGAATCATGAATTTGGCACAACAATATGAAAAATTATCAAAACTTCAGTGGGGAGATGAAAACGAGAAAAAAGAAAACGATGAGACGTCGACAACACATGAACCAGAATTCACAAAAGAGTAAGACTTCATTTATTGATGATGTATTTTAATAATAAAATTATTTATTAGTAAATTTTATATGTATTAAATTATAATTTAAAAAATTTTTTTTTTGGAAAAAAATTACACACACAAACACACACACACACACACACACACATATATATTTCGAAAGGTCACTTATACTAGTTATTTGGCTCCTTTACAATGGAAGACAATTTTCGT